TGAGCTAACATTTAGAAACTGTTAGTAGGAGTGGGTAAATGAAATATTATGCCTAAATAACTTACAGATGAAGTTGTTCTCTTTACATATCCATTTTAATGAAAATATTTTGAAAGCACATCACCCTGAGAGGAAGGGTGGAGTAGTGGATGAAAAGCTTGTCTCTCACATTCTGCCTCTGACACATTTTGGCTTCATGACCCTGGGCAAGTCTCTTGACCTCTTGGCAAAGCTCTCAGCTTGGGGAAATAGAAGACAAACACATGACCAGGGGCTGCACATAATCCACAACACTCTTGAATATGGCTGAACCTGATTAAAATGTAATTGGAGAATATTTAACAAAACAGATAAAAATATAGTAAAGCACAGATAATATTAATAGGTGTTCTTCTAATTCAATATGCACTTGCAAGATCTTTCTATACAATCCAGGGGCTCCCAAGAAGTGTAAGGTGAAAGTTGGATTTGAACTCAGGACATCTTGACTCCAACACTGGCCCTGGGTCACACCATACTTTCTCTTCATCCCATGTTCTTACATAGGGAAAATAGAACACAATTTAACCTTTTCTTGCTGAATCCTGGTTGCATCATGTAAATAGACTCTGAGGCCATTCTAAGGTCTGTTGAGGTAGGACCTTCTTAGGAAATGGCCTCTGACTTCTTCTGTCTCCTCACTCAATGCAAAATGATTATTCATCTCTATTTGGTGTTTTTGGTGTATTAAGAGCAAATCTCTTTCTCATTTTCTACCTCTCATCTATTATGGGGAGGGAAATTACATAAACTGTTTGATCTGAAAGAAGAGTAAATGAGAATTGAGTGGCGGTCTGGGATGCTAAGGATGGGCTTTCATAGAAAATGGAACTGAGATGGAAGAAGCATGGAAATTCAGGAGGTGAAGATGAAGAGCAAGAGAATTCCAGCCTTGGGGAATAGTCTGTCATTCAATAACCATCTATTAAGTACAGTTATCCCTTCTGAGGGCATCCCAAGATCTGGAAAATCAATGTAAAAATGTTGGCCCTCCCTTTGTACCAGAGAAGAAGTCTAAATTATTATGGCATTAACAGATAAACTAAATTGATATTTTACAATACTATAAATATATTTTATGTATTTCTGAGTTTCTAAACTTTTTCTGTGTCATCTGCTGGCCTTTGCATGTAGTCTGCTGCTTCTGCAAAAGACTCAAAAAATTCCCATTTAATTTCTTATGCCTACCTGCAACATATCAAAACCACCATAGGGAAAGTCAAGATGTGGCAGGGATGACTGTACTAGGAGACCATGACACACAAAAGGATGCTAAAAAGTTAGGGCAGGGGTGGCACACTGTTCTAACCCCTAAAGATGTAAAGAAGAGCAAATCCAGTCAAGGAAAGCTTGCTACAATTAGAGCTATCCCAAAGTGAGATGGGCTGCTTCAGGGGTGAGTGGGCTCTCTCTTACTGCAGATCTTCAAGAAAAGCCTAGGAACCCTTCACCCTGTATATTACAAAGGTTGCACTGTGTAGTGAAGAAAGTTGTAGATTTAGAATCAGTAAGATTCCAAGCTGGACAGCTACTTGCTACCTGTATGACCTTAAGTCAGTTACCTTCTCTAATCCTCAAGGAACTCTTCCATAAATTGTGGAAACAATAGCACCTACTCCACATATCGAGTTGTGATGGGGATTAAGTGAAATAAATATATAAAGCGCAGTGCAGATCTTATACAAGTTTGCTGTAATTACTTTTTTATATATTTTGGTATTTTTTTTTTACCAATTACATCTAAAGACAATTTGTCATTTTTTTTTGTTTTGAGTTCCAAATTTTCTGCCTCCTTCCCACCTCTTCCTTTTCCCTGAGACTGTAAACAATTTGATATAGGTTATATATGTGCAACATGTACAGCATATTTCCATATATATGATGTGAAAAAAAGGAACAGACCAAAAGAAACACACACACACACACACACACATACACACGCACACACACACACAAACGTAAAAAGAGTCAGGTTCAATCTGCATTCAGACTCCATCAATTCTTTCTCCAGATGTGGACCGTTATTTGTTGTAATTACTAGAGGGGTTTGTTTTAGGGGCATGGGTTAAGGTAGATGGATGGCACTTTTAACACTCAGATTCTTAGGGTCTCTGTCAATGCCTTTTGAGAGCTCCTGATCTATGGCCACATAGTAGGAAAGCCTGGATCCTTAGTATGGTACATTACAGAGGCATCTACAGGCCTTGTAGTGTGCCAGGCTGGGAGGCCTGGATATGCCCACCTCCTTGTACTTCCACCCGCACCCAGTGCATCTTGGCATTTGGCCTTCTCTAGCTCTCTAGAAGAGAAATGATGACAACTCCCCACCAGTTTATTCTGGCACTCTACCCACATCCTGTGCTATATAAAACCCCCATGCTTGAAGACTAGAATGTAATGAAGATGTAATATCAAATCGTTTCTTTCAAAGCCTTTGTATGGTCATAAGGCAATGCATCATCATCTACTGGAAATTCAAGCATTGGGCAAAAGGAGACTCAGAATACCTAGAACCCCAGGACTGCCCCCTAAATAGTTGTGCAACCTTAAGCAGGTCAGGTAAACTCCCTGTATCTCAAGCTATTAATATGTAAAATGGATGTGAGAGGCAGCTAAACAAAGGGGATATCATAGACAGTTGTTCTTGGAGTCAAAAGGACCCAGGTTCAAATCCTACCTCTAACATGTAGCAGCAAAGACTATGTAGAAAGTCTCTTAACCTCGGTGGCCTAGCAGCTCTCTAATAATATGTAAAAGATTTATTAGCATCTGCTTTGGTGGATAGTTTCCCACATGGAAGAAATTACTTGGGTCAGGAGAATGAACACTTGGTCTGCAGTCAGAGGACGCGGGCTCAGAATTCTGCCTCTGGGGCTTATTCCCTGTGATTCCTAGGGAAAGTCTCTTCACATCACTGGACCTCATCTTCTTTCGTAACGTGAGAAGGTTGAACGAGGTGGACTCTGAGGTCCCTTCCAACTCTTTATCTATGATCCTATGATGGGACAGGGATAGGGAACTCCCAGATAAGGACAAGGCCATCTACTAACATAGGTCAACACCATTTTTGAAACCTGCCATCATGGACAATTGTCTAGATACTGCAAAGTGACTTGCCCAGGGTCACAAAGCCAAGATAAGTCAGAAGTGGGACTCAAACCTGAGTCTTCCTAGCCTCAAGGCCAACTCTTTATCCACTCTAGCTCACTGCCTCTATGATCACATGAAGCTATGGGAAAACACACACACACACACTCACACCAACACAAGAACTACTGCTATCTGTCCCTTTGCTTTAAAGGGTTATTGTACAGACTTGTTATGGGTTTTTGTTGGTTTCTTCCATATGGACCTGTAACTCCATTGGAATATGGAATCTCAAGTAAGGAAATCCCCTTTCCCAATGCAGATTAGAACCTACTTGGAAATTGTACTCGTAGAAAGTTGTCTGGGGTTAGGAAATTGGGATGTTAGGAAAGTGATTTATCAAAGGCCATATAGCCATATGAGTCAGAGACTGGCTTTGATCCTAGGGCTTCTGGCCTCCAAAGTCAACACTCTAACCATGCTGCTTTCTAGTAAGAGAATATATTAGAGTACACATGAGAATGCTCTGAAAAAGTACAAAGTGAGACACAAATATAGGGCATCAGCACCTCCTCTAGCTCCCAGATATCCAAGGCAGAGGTTTTGAATTTGAGGTCCACAGTGGACACTGCCCAGCACTGCTGCTTAACAAATGCTTGTTGACTGACTGAAAATGGGTGGAGTTACCAAGTTGTCTTTGGAGGAGGGGGAGAAAGGGAATTGAATTTTCTTTTTACTAACCTCTAGATATAATATGCCATTTCCTTCCATACAAATGTAGAAAACAAACCTTCATTCTGAGAATGAACCCATGGGCTTCCCCAGACTGCCAAAGGGGTCTATGAATAAAACCAGGTGAAAAAAAAATAGGTACCATATCTTTCTGGGAATCATAGATGCAGCATTGGAAGATTCTATAAACCTCATTTTTAATACAGCCCCTCTAGGTTTTACAAAAAAGGAAACTGAGATAAGGAGACTTCCTCACAGTCATAGCTAGTACAGAGCCATGACTAAAACCCAGGATGTCTAGTCATGTGTTCTTTTTTAATATCTACCTCGTTACCTTCAACCTTAAGGCCAGGATCATGTGTCTATAGCCAGTTAAGGGGGGAGGTATGGTTTGATGATGAAGTTTCCCCAAATCCTTTTGTCAACCACTAAAATTGGAAGTACTATTACATATGACATTAAGCTTTACATAAAACAGATTTTAGACATGTTGGAGTCAATTACCCATGAGTGTGATGTTATTTGTGCAATGCAAAATAGAGATAGATAGGCAATACAAAATTGTTGTGGTCAAATACATATTGTTAGCATAGAAAAATGACCCATCAGAGTTAGTTCATGATACTAATTATGGTGCCAGAGATAAAATTGTATTGTTGAAAACAAATCACTAACACACATCAGTACAGCACGACCTTCTACCAAGATCAAGGATATGTGCTTCTATCAAAATGTCTAGGATTCAGGAAGATAATTCCTGATATAAAAAGGACCATCCCAGTTCTCTGATCCATGGAGTCAGAATTCAGAATGGTATAAACCAAATAAGTAGTGAAGCCTTTTGCCCAAATAGAAGAATTTCTCCATTCCCTCTGCCAGAGAGGCAGAGGAATTGGGGGGAGGGTTGTTTTGCTTGGGGGAGGGATCTTCCTCCATGGCACTGGGGGGTGTGCTATTGTGTTTTGAGTTGGGAATAGGGGCGAGAATCAGCCTGAATATGTACAAATGTCCTTTGTGCCAAGGGAAGATTATGTCAATTTCTGTTCCAAAATGAAAAGTTATTATCCCTGTTTTAACTAGCAGAATTGGGTCTTTTCCCCCCAAGAGCAGAGAATAAAGCAACCCTTTATCTCTTTCTCTAGTGCAGTGCCTGGAGATGACAACCAAACGGAAGATCATCGGCCGCCTGGTGCCATGCCGATGTTTCCGAGGAGAAGAAGAAATCGTCACAGTGTTGGATTACTCCCACTGCGGCCTTCAGCAGGTGCCAAAGGAGGTTTTTAACTTTGAACGGACCCTAGAGGAACTTTACCTAGATGCCAATCAAATTGAAGAGCTGCCTAAGGTAAATGTTTTAGGATCTCAAATATAAACTCTAAATAAGCACTTGAAGATTTTAAAGAGTTAGCCATGAGTTCTAAATATTGTCTGTTCCCTGGAAATCCCACAAATGACATCAACAAATAAGTAGGTTGGCCTCCAATAGTCTCTTTACTAAATGCTATTGTTTGATGTTTTATTACAAAGAAAACCAGATTCTGCCTGTGGATGTCACATTGCTGCAGTCAGCACCTATTTGTTTTCCTTCAAAACAAGCAAGAACTTGTTCTCTGAGCAAACTCAGATTGATTAGTCTCAAAGGTAATCAATTGATTAATCAACAAGCATTTATTACTGCTACAACCTACTGTGTGCTAGGCACCACTCCAAGCCCTGGGAATGTGAAGATAAAAGGAGAGTGGCCCCGACTTCAAGAAGTTTCCAATCTAATGGAGGAAACAGCATGTAGAAAGAGAGAGCTATACAAGACATCCTCAAATCCAACGTGGGGTGATCTTGGAGGGGGAAGAATTAGCAGTTGGAGGATGAGTAGGTGAGACTTGAGCTGAGTCAAGGAGATTTAAGTGAGGAGAGAAAGAATTCCAGGCATGAGCCAGTGGAAGGCAAATGAGATGACAGATGGAGCTTTGTATGTGAAGGAGAGAAAAGAGGCGCACAGGGCTGAGCCTAAAATAGTATGTGGACAAGAGTTGTGTATAAGTGACCTAGAGAAGTAGGAAGGGGCCATTGTGAAGAATCTGAAATGCCAAAGAAAGAATGTTTTCTAGTTGATCATAGAGGTAATAGGGAGCCTCTAAAGTTTATTGAGTTGGGGAGAGGGGAGAAAGAGAAGGTGACATGGTCAGAAGTGTGCTTGGAGAAAATAATTTTGGTAGCTGTGTGAAGGTTGATAGGAGTGAGGAGAGACTCAAATCAGGTGATCTGTGAACACACCTGCTAACCATCCTGTATGTGTCCACTCTTTCATTGCTAAAATCTTTGCAAAGGATGACTGTAATCCAAGTCTCCACTTCCTTTCCTCTCGTTTTCTTCTTAACTCTCTGAAGATTGACTTATGATGTCAATCAACCAAAACTGTTCTCTCCAAAGTGAGTAATGAGCTCTTCATTGCCCTTCCAATGAATCCTCATCCTTTCTTGATCTCTCTGCAGACCTTGAGCTCATTGATCACCTGCTTCTCCTTTCTAGATTTTGGTGATACTACTCTGTCCTGGCTCTTCTCCTACCTCCGTGGTGGCTCCTTTTCAGTCTCCTTTGCTGGATCTTCATCCAGGGCATGTTTATGATTCATGAGTATCCCACTGGGCTCTGTCCTGGGCCCCTTCTCTTCTCCCTCTTTACTATTTCACTTGGTGATCTCATCAGCTCCCAGAGTCCATTTCCATCCCTAGGCTGATGACTCCCAGATCCATTTATACAGCCCCCACATCCCCGCTAATCTCCAATGTCACATCTCTCACTGCCTACAGAATATCTCAAACTGTATATACCATAAACATCTTAAACTCAACATGTCCATAACTGAACTCGTTATCGCCCCCAAAAAAAAACCCTCCCCTTTTCTGAATTTTCGTATTACTGTTGAAGGCGTCACCATCCTCCCAGTCACCTAAGTTCACAACCTACATGTCATTATGGACTCCCCACTCTCAAAGTCCCCATATCCATTGGGCAGTCACATCCTGTCATTTCTACCTTTGCAACATCTTTCAAATACACCTTCTTCTCTCCTTTGATACTGCCCCTATCCAGGGGCAAGCCCTCATCACCTTGCCCCTGGACCATTTTTATAGTCTGACTGGACTCTCAGTCTCTCATCTCTCCTCATTCCAATCCATCCTCCATTCAGGTATCAAAGTAAAAATCCTAAAATGTAGCCAGGTTTGATCATGTCATATTCTACCACCCATTCAATAAATCCAGTGGCTACCTATGACCTCTAGGTTCAAATATAAAATATTCTAGGTTTTAAAGCTCTCCATAGCATGCCCCACCACACACACATTTCCAATCTTCCTGTATGCCTTTAGGTACTCTGTAATACGGTACCAGTGGTTTCCTTGCTGTTCCTCACACAAATTCCTCACCTTGGGGCATTTTTGCTGACTGTCCCCCATTCCTAGAATCTCCACCCTCTTCATCTTTACCTCCTAACTTCCCTGACTTCCTTCAAGTCTCAGCTAAAATCTCATTTTCTGCAAGAGCCCTTTCTTCATCCCCCTTAATTCTCTTCCTCTGAGATCATCTCCAATTTAGTCTGTACTTATGCCATCTGTACACAGTTGTTCACATGTTTTCCCCTCCATCAGGTTGTGAACTCCTTGAGAGCAGGGACCTTGTTTTTGCTTTTCTTTGTCTCCTCAGCACTTAGCACAATTCCTGACACATAATAGGTGCTCAATAACTTGTTTATGACCTTCACTTGACTTGCCCTTGAGGAACTTACATTCCATCATAAGAACCACATGCAGAGGTAAGTAATACAAACTGTTTGGTCTCATCCCTCTTCCGCATAACAACTCTCTAAATCCTTGAAATCAACTACCATGACATTTTGCCATTTCTCTGAAGCCACTGATCTTTTCAAACCTTCTAATGCGATCAAAGCCAAACAAAATTGGAACTTATTTGTGAAATATCTTAGGCTCTTAGAAATCTAGAACTGGAAGGAAACACAGAAGAAACCTGCCCAACCCCCTTGTTTTGAAGAAGGAAATGGAGGGCCAGAGATTTTCTGTCACTTATCCAAGATCACACACACCTTCAGTAATAGATCTCCTGACTCCAAATCTAATGCTCTTTCATGCCAGTCCATAGTCCATTTTCTATGCATTTGAATGTTTTTTCCATCAATGCGAAAATAAGGCAACATACAAAGTCAATAACCAGAAGCAATACCATCAAAAATCAATTACCCCTAGTAGCTTCAGGAATTTCAATTTTCTGATCACAACAGTCATTGAATAATGCCCTTCAGATAGGACTATATTTTTATTAGATTGCAAATTTTTCCATGAAAGGCATCTTTTGATTGGTATCTCAAATACCTTATCCTATAGTTTCATGATGCTCACAAAATAATATTTTGTTATTTGGTTGGGTTACAGATTATGGTAAGAATTTAAAGATGATTAGAATGCAAATGGAGAACAGATTTAACAGCTCAAACAGAATCTTAAAAGGCCAGATATTAAAATGATTTAATTTAAGGTATTCAAATACTGGAATCAGTCAACAGGGATTTTTAAGTAACTATTAGATTCCAGCATTATACTAGGCCCTGTGGGATGAAAAGACTAGAATGAAATCATCCTTCCCCTCAAGGTATTCTCATTCTCTCAAGAGACAAAGACAACATGTGTACATATGTTTCCACAAATTTTTTGTATGCCACCCAAGGCCCTGGGATCATCCAGGATTATGGACTCATGTGAACTAGTGTTAATCTTGAAGGAGGGAGGGGAGTTATATCACAGGGTCAGGTTCTCTCTTGGCTCATGTACCACCTGAAAATTTACAAGGCAATCTCTAAGCAAAGCTTCAGAATGACTCATGCCTATGTTTTCATTCAAAGTGGGTAATGAGCTCCCCAACTCCCACACAGATAGTCAATGTCTGACATGAGTATCAAGTTGATATGGACTTTATTTTCTCTACTACCCAAAATGCAAATGATGAGGTGATCAAAAAAACTTTCAGGTAGTCATGAACAAATATAGGAAATTTTTTAAAAGACACGCAAGTGGCCAATTAGGCTCATCACCCTTCCCTGGAAGATCAAGACCTCTGTCCTCCTGCTGAACAGGCATTACCTGCTCCCCATGTGAATACCCCCTCCACCAATGCAGACAGGCAACTCTTCTACAACTTTGACTTAGGGAACTAGCTGTGGCTCTGAGATGAGTCCGAGGTCATCAGGTCTTATGTGTCAGAGAAGGGACTGGAACCTGGGTCTTTTCAACTCTATGACCAGTTTTGGATCTAATGGGACTCATTGCCTCTCGAGATCAAATTTAATTGAAGTGAATTTATTGTTCTACACCAAAGTTCAGAACCTCAACCCCAGAATGAAGACCAAGATACAGAGCCGTGTGGACAGATAACCACTTATGAAAAAGACCCAGGAGTTCTGGAGAACTGTAAATTCAACATAAATCCTACTTTTGTTACTAGTCACAAAACCACAACCATTTATTAAGTGTTTGATATGTGCTAGGTATTGCACAATATGGTCAAGGGTAGAGAGGTGATCTTGGAGTCAAGAAGACCTGGCTTCAAATTCCTACTCTGATATACACCAACTGTGTGACTCTGGGCAAGTCTCTTACCTCTCAGTTCTTTAGGCAGCTCTTGAAAACTATAAGGTGCAGAAGAAGTACTAATCTACCCTGAAGCAAGGAGTTTCCTCAGCCTGGAGTTCCCCATAACCTACAGATGCCTGACCCTCTACCCATGTGCCAGAAAATGTGCTAAATGTTCATTATACAGTATTAATTATAATAAAAGCAACAGAGAGAATTTATCTAATGCATGAGGTTTGCAGAACACTTCACATATGTTTTCTCATGTCATGCTCCCAAATACTCTTCCATGTAGATGATATTATTGTCTCCCTTTCACAGACAGTAAATTGAATCTGGGAAATTTCAAATTACTTGTCCAGCTAGTAATTGTTGAATGTAAGTTTTGAACCCTGAGTTTGCCATCTTTAGGCCAAGACATTCCCCACCCTCAAAGAGTTCACTTTTTAAGGTATACTCAGAGTCCATGGAAAATAAACTTAAAGGAGGAGGTTGCTACAGTCCAGAGTAAACACCTAATCTATCAGTTATATCATCTGCAAAGTGGGGGAGGAGTGGACAGGATAATGTCTGAGGTCTAGCTTTAATCTTCTGATCCACTGGGTGACATTCCGACCCAAAAAGCCTCATTCACCTTTGTCGACACAAAAACATAACATCTAGAATGACATGTTGTTATCGCTCTGCTCACCTCAGTTCTAGT